ACATGTTGAAGTGATTCAGGACATCAGGGCAGCCGTGGTAGTGTAACTAAAGACACTCAAGAAGGAAGACTTCCAGAACTGCTTCAGAAACTGCCAAGAACGATGGGAGAAGTCTGATGGAAGCAAGGGGGAGTATTCTGAGGGGCACTAATGGCAATTTTTCTTGTAGTGTAAAAAATGTTTTAGAATTTAAACATTGAAGATATGCTTTGATCACACCTTGTATATAGAGACCCTATTAATCTTTGTAATGTGAATTGTCTTAAAATTTTTTTATTAGTATATGTCTGTGATACATAATAAATACATTCAGTGTGGTAAATGTGCACATATAGATATTGCATCTTGATCATTTAAATTCCCTGATATGAATCTTATTCAGCAACCTTGTCAAACTCTTTTGTTGGTAGATTCATACAGTCTTCTGTCAACAAAGCTACAGTTTGCAAACAATAATAATAATATTTTTATTTTTTCCCAACTCTTCTGTCTTTTTTTTCCCCCTCAGTTTTTTGCTTTAGCTGAGGATACTAGTATTAGGTTGAGTACAAACTGTGATGCAAAGAATCTTTGCATTGCTTCTGCGACTGAAGGATCCCATTTTGAAATTTCGTCATGTTCTGTTATAATGTCAGCTGTCCGTTTTTGGAAAATACCCCTTTTCTCTTCAGAAAGTTGTCTTTAATTTAGGTTGTGTTGTGTATTTATAAGAAATGAAACAGGTGAGAGGCTGCTCTACCTGGCTTACTTCAATCTCTCCCACATGGGGAATTCGGTCCCTTTTTGTACGGAGGCTTTCCTCAGGCCTGTGTCCTGGGTCTGGTGTGTCAACAGTGGGCTTCCACTGCACTCTCTCCCCTTTGGTACTTTCCTCACTTTACAAAACTTGTTTATTCCACCTTCTCATGAAATGAGAAGGGACCTTCTTGTCTACCTCATTAATTGTATCCTTCAGATCTCACTCAGGGCCCACTCTACACTAGTTGAAAATGATAATTGAAAGAATGAATAAATAAATGAATGAAACAAAAAGGGGGTATGAAATTTCACAAAATGGAACAAAAAATTGAATGTCAGAACACTAATCGACATAAAGGTCTGTGCAGTGTCACTGTCAACACAAAGACTGAAGTCCAATAATAAATACAGATGATTTAGCCAGGTGTGGTGAGACACATCTATAATCCATTATTCTGGGAGGTTGAGGCAGGACGACTGAACGTTCAAGCCCAGCCTAGGCAACTTAGCTACTTAGCGACACTGTCTCAAAATATAAAGCAAAAAAAGGCCTGGGAATGTAGCTACATGCAAAGCCTTCACTGAGTTCACTTTCCAGTATCACAAAAACAAACAAAAGATTTGAATGGAGCTATGCAATGAGAAAATTCACGACGAGAAAATTCTGCATTATGGGTTTATTATATAACACTGTGATTTCAAGCCACTGGGAAATTAGTGCTAGGAAAACAAAGAAAAAACGTTGATTTTTGTGTAAAACTGCACCAAATTTAGATGGTTTAAACACTTCTATGTAGAAAAATAAACCAAAAATGTACTAGAAGAAAATAGAGATGAATATACATACTTGGGGATATTTATTTCTCCATGCAAAGTAAAATCCACAAAGGACATAACTGAGAGATCACTGCATAATAATGAAAAACATATGTAGTAAAAAATATTTTAAAAGTTTACAGGAAAGGCAACCTTTTAACTTAATTGGAAGATATGAGAGAGAGAAAGAGAGAAAATTGTTAACATCCCTAGTAAATAAGGCTTTTATGAATCAGTAAGAAATGACATCAAAGCAATAGAAAACTTGTACAATACAAGTAAACATGGAAATCATGAAAGTTAAGTATTTTTTTTATGGGCTTGGGCTCCATAATGAAATGTAATAAAGAGGCTTAGACAATAGAAATCAATTTTCACACCGTTCTGGAGACTAGCAAGAAGCCTGTGATCAGGGTGGCAGCAAGGGTGAAGACTTTCTTCAGCCACCTCTTGCTGTGTCTTTATGTGGAGGGGGACAGGGGATGATCCCCTTCATTAAGAGGTGGGGCAGGAGATCACTGTCTTTGTTTAAGGCTCCAGTCCTCTCAGATCAGGGCCCCAGCTGTATGACATCATTTAACCTAATGACCTCTGAAAGTCCGTCTCCAGTTACAGTCATATTAGAGATTGCAGCTTCCACATACGAATTTTGGGGGGACACAATGCAGTTAATAAAAATAAATTAATAGCAATTAGAAATAAATAAACGCTCTTATCTATTATTTTCTTACTCTTGCTCTTTTTCTAGCTTACTGAGTTGAACATATAGCTCATTTGCTTTATTATTTTATTCTCTTTAGATACGTATATTTGAATCTGTAATAATTCTGATAAGTATTGCTTAATTGCATCCTCCAGGTTTTGTCATACAGTGCTTTAAGCTCCAAATAATTCCTGATGTTTCATATGAACTGTGGGAAGGACGCAGAAAACTCAGGTAGGCCAGAATGAGTGGTAGTGCCCACAGTGGGGATGAAAAACAGTGTCGCAGTATACCCATCTCCACACCCGCCAGGACCTGCAGAGCGAAGCTGCAGTTTTCCCTATACGCACAGATCCCACTTGTCATTGTAGGTTTCTTGAGGACTTACTTCTAAAAAATGCCTCCATGAAAAATAGCACGGTGAGAAACAGTGCCTGTGCTGGACCGACTTCAGCAACTTCTCAGCTCTGCCTGAGAGGACCTAAGTTCTGGATCTGCAGTTTTCGAGGGACACTTCACATCCAGTGTTTACATATTTTTTTTTTTAAACTTTAGGGAATGTCTGGGATGTTAAACGTTTCATTGATTGCAATGACTATGTTTCTTTTTTCCCATTTTTAAAAAGTTTAAATTAATTAATCTGTATCGGTGCACGCTTGTGGAACAGAGTTATACTCACTCCGCTGGCCACATTCAGCTCTCGGTTTGCGACTAGTTTGCCACCCAGGGTTAGATTTTAACACCAGGTTTTCAAAGCCTTTCCAAATCTCACAGCACGTCTCTCCTGGAACTGGACATGGAGCAGGTCGGTCTGGATTGCTCAGAGGGTGGACAGAGAAATCTGAGAGCAGTGGTGTCATTAGCTGCACCCCGGACTTCCCGGCTGGCCACCTCCCGGAGCTGGACAAGCGTGAAGGAGGGCCGCACAAGTCTCCCTCCGCTTCAGTTGGCGCCTTCCCACTGACATTACAGTAATACAGTTGTGTGGTGTTTGAAAAAGCTTCCCTAGTTACACGGAATGATTTACAGGACACCAGACTCTGCATTTCAGAGGTCTCCCGTGTACCATAAAAAATATATTATAAAGGAATCATCTTTATCTGAACTAAAACTCATGTCCAGCTGAGAGCAGCAGTGAGCTTTTGTTAACTCAGGCAAAAGTCCGCGTTCTTCATCTTATTTGATTAACATTTTTTTCTTCTCTTTGGCACTAGGTATCTTGTTAATATTTAGACATTATATACATTTTTTTCAACTGTTGTTCCTATTATATGATCAAACAAAACCCAACAAGTCAGCGCACATCAGCAAGCCACAAAGGCAGAGCTTCCAGGCATCCGGCTGGCAGCCGGCACGGACACAGCACAGGCAGCCCGGCGGGCGAGGGCGTGGGCAGCCCGGGTCCCCGGAAGCTGAGTTCCTGGAGTGCTCCGTTAAAGTCCCAGGCAGCTGCTTCCCATCCCAGCCTCCCCTTCCCTCACCGTCCAGTGCAAAATGCATCAGGGCGCTATTTCGCATCCGCCCTCTGATGTTTACGGTCTCTGCCCCTCGGAGGAGGGAAGTGAGGGGTGGAAATCTCGCTGCAGAGAAGATACACCTTTAAATCCCAATGAGGCAGAGCCCAGGCACCCCGCAACCTACGGTCTGTCCTCATTAGGTGTTCAGAGAGATTTCAGTTCAGGGAGCCCTGGGCTCCTTCAGCGGCGCCTCCCAAAGGGCACACCGCGGTGAGAGGGGTCCAGGAGGCCATAGCCCCGCCCTGGAACCAGGCGCAGTCACCCGGTGGCCGGACGGAGGCGAGAGCTCCGGGCCGGGCAGCCCGTGCCACAGGCTCCACCCCTCAGCAGCTCCGAGCTAGGATGGGGAGGCTGGGAAGAGGGAAGTTGGGGTGGCAAAGCTGCCTAGACCGAATTTCCCGGACCCGCGGCGGGACCGCATCCAGGGTCGGGAGGGGAGGGCGGGGCCGACCCAGGCCGAGCGCGCCGGGCGTCCCGGGGGAGAGGCCGAAGCTAGAAGAGCCGCCCCTCGCGGCTCCCGCTGCCCAGCGCGCGCCGTCAGCGGCTGACGCCGGCTCGAATCCCCAAAAGTGTCCGGAGAGGGCTGGCCGCCGCGCCGCAGGCTCCCGGGGAGGCGGCACGCGGGGTCGCGCTCCCCGCTCTCCCAGCGCCCCGGCCCTGGCGCTCGCCCCCGCTCCCGCGCCCCTCCGCAGGCGCGCGCAGGGCACCCCCTTCCCTCGGCGGCGCCGGGCGCGCGCTCAGCCCGCTCCTCCTCGCCCTCCTCCCCTCCCCTCTGCGCGTCTCCTTTCTCCCGGCAGAAAGTTAGCAGCGGGGAAGGAACTCGGGGCTGCAAGCGCGCGCGGCGGCGGCGGCGGCAGCGGCGGAGCCCGAAGCAGGCGCCGAGGAGGAGCGGGGGAGCGGGGAACTGCGCATGGAACAGGTGCCGCCGGCCGGCCCGCGCGCCGCCCTCGGTCCCCTGGCCGGAGGCTGAGGGGGCTGGGGGGCCGCCTGGACTCCGCGGGCGGCGCGGGGGAGGGGGCCATGCGGCCGGGCTCCCCCTCGGCGCAGCGGGACAGCGGCCAGGGCCGGGGGCGCGGCGGCGTC